AATGTTACTGAAAGAGAAAAAAATCCTAAATAATAAAAAATGATAGACAAGTGAATTGCATATTATGAGGCAGTGGGTTTTTTTCTTATTGGCAGCCACTAAATTGCATTTGGAAGCTCATGCAAAGCAACACTTTAATAGAAGACCACAGGGATGTGTTCCATAGTTCTAACATCTCACTCATGGTATGCTAATGCATCTCTCAGCACAGGTAATGTTACCTCTGATAGGGAACACTCTGCCAGTTATGAAATGAAGCACAGAACGAATACAAATGCTGCTTTTGTTAAATATTTCTCTGTGCTCTCAAAAATCTCTCAGGGGTTGATTAAATTCATTAAGAGCTAACAGAAACTTCAGCCATTCTTTTCTTTGTGGCCAACATGCCAGTAAGAGAAAAGCCAACCGTGGGACTGTTGAACTGCCAAGAACCTAATGTTATAGCCTAATATTTACAACCGAATAACACTAATTATAAAATGTATCAGTTACAGAGAGCTGGTGCCACAGCAAGCATTTGGCAATGATGCTTGCTAAACCCACAAAATAGTGATTACTCTCCTTATTTCATAGTTTTAGGAAACTGAGGCATAGACAGAAACTGGTGAAGATTTTAATATATGAACACTTACCTGTCTGACTTCCTCATGCTCATAAACTAATATGAAACTAGAAATCTGGTCAATCAGCAATTGGATTTGTTCTTTGGCCTTGGTGGACAGATAGGTCAGAACATTCAGGAAGTCAGCCTGCATTGATTTGAATGAGTTTGCTCATTTTATTATATCCTCTGTGTCATTATTGCTGAACATTAAATTTTGTCTACCCAATACACACATTTCTTTGTCTTACTAATTAATATACCATAAAACTCACTATTCATGGAAAATTCAGTAATTTTTAATATACTAACAAAGTTGTATAATCATCACCACTATCTAACGCCAGCACCTTTTCATCAGTATGAAAAGAAACCTTGACATAATGAGAAGACAGGTTATCTCATGCCTAGAAACCACTAAATAATCATCCATATGTTTCTAGCTATCCTGTACATTGAATATATATGTATATATAAAGATACAAATTAACCTCTGGAGGGCTTCTTTTATTTATAATACTTCAACTATAGTTTTATTGTAGTGTCAGTAACCTTTTCATTTCGTATTGTATCTTAATTGTTGATGTAGCCTAATGACAATGAACCTATCCAGAGAGAAAGAATGTAAGACGCTTCTATTTCTCTGTGTACAATGCAAGCCTGAATTTTGAAATATCAATGAAGCGAGTAAACAGGACAGAAGTCCACAAGGAATATTATTATCTCAATTTGTAAGATGGGGGAAAATGTGCAAGGGTGGTGCTCAAATTTTGGAGCAGGAATTCATGTACAGGGCTTTGACTATACACCTGAGTTGTACTTAATTGATGGACATATGGGAAGGACAACTAAGTGACCCATTCGGTAACTGAATCTATGATCTTTGTTTCACCAGTACTTAGAAACTGAGCTAAGCATCTGTACTCCATCAATCTAAGTATCTGCGTGCCATGAGACACTGGACTTAAGTACTGGTTGGGGCCAAACAGCAAAAAACTAAAACAAAAAAACAAAAACAAAAATTTGCAGGAAGAGGCATGAGGTGGCAACTATTGCTCGGACAAGCCCTCATGCTCTCTACAGAGCTATTCTGACCTCTTTTAAGAGAATTTGGCACACATTCTCTAATGTGAATTATCCTTATTTCTAAGTGTTGGTAACAAATTCAACCCTTTCTTTTTGAAATTCATTTAAACTATACAACTCTGTATCAAGTATGTGTTGGAGCTATGATACCCCATAAGCACGTTTAAAACCAGGAGGTGCCAAGGTCCTCCTCAACAAGAACCAAAGATGATAAGGAAAACATGAGGGAATTTGACCTCTTGTCTTTCATGCTTAATTCTAGAAATGCCAAACAGTTGAAGTAAGAGAAAACACAAAAGGGAGAATACCATCATATCTTTCATCCCTTCTAAGGTAACCACTAAGGACTTCCTTAACACATGCTCTGTCAGGTGGTTGACATATCACGATAGCTTGATCATGTGATCTCTGGCTTCAAAAGTCTTTCATGGGCCCTACACTGCACCATCTCCATATCTCTGCTCTTCTAGGAACCTTTGAACCCACAGATCTGGGAGCTTTCCCAGAATTGTCATGGTGAACTCCTTTCCCACAGGTCCCTGTGCTCCAAAATCTCAGTCCTGCCAGGACCCTTGCATACCCCTGAATCTGATGAAGGAGAAAATGGGGAATACACTGGAACTTATAGGCACAGAAGGACTTTCTGTACGAGACTACTGTAGTGCAAACATTAAGTCCAACAATTAACAAATGGAACCTCATGAAACAGAAGAGCTCTGTACAGTAAAGAAAACTGTCATTCCAGTGAAGAGCCAATCTACAGTACGGGAAAATCATCTTTACCTGCTAAACTTCTAACAGAGGGTTAGTATCTAGAATATAGAAAGAAGCGAAAAACTAAACATCACAAAAAAACCCAAAATTAAAAATTGGCTCAAAGAGCTGTACAGGAAATTGTCCAAAAATTAAATGAAAATGGCAGAGAAATACTTTCTAAACGCTCAACATCTTTAGTCATCACAGAAATTCAAATTAAAATCACTTTGAGATTTCAACTTACTCTCCTAGGAGTGGCAGACAAATGCTGGGAAGGATTTGGAGAAAGGGGAACGCTTACCCACTGCTGGTGGGAGTGCAAACTGGAAATCAGTGTGGAATTACTCAAAAAGCTAGAAATTGATCTATCATATGACCCAGTCAACCACTCATAGGCACATACCCAAAATAGTCTACATCCTACTATAGAGGTACCCATTCATCCATGTTCACTGCTTCCCTTTCATAATAAACACGAATTGGAAAAAACTTAGATGTCTATCAATTGATGAATGGATAATGAAGATGTGGTACATATACACAATGGAGTTTATTATTATTCAGTTCAAAAAAACTCTAAAGTTATTAAATTATCTGGAAAATGGATGGAACTGGGAAGCCATCATCCTGAGTGAGGTAACCCAGACCCAGAAAGACAAATATTACATGTTCTTTCTCATAGCTGGATGCTAGCTTTGAAATCTTCGATATGCGTGTTTCAATTTGAAAATCCAGAGAGGTCAGGAAACTAATAAACAGTCATCGGGTGAGGGTGTGGCTTCTCGGGAGGGTAGGTAGAAAGCAGTGACATAAAGGGGAAAGTGTTGAGTAGGAAGGGTTAAATTGTGTGGGGAATGGGAAGGCAGGACAGAGGAAGGAGTGTGGGGAGGTTTAACTAACACTGACCTCCTTTAGAAAAAGCCATATGAAAACCTACCACTTATAGAACCTTTTAAAAGTATATACATATACATTATTTTTTGATTTTTAAATTTTTACAAGTATGAGTGTTATTCCTGCATGTATATTAATGCACCCATGTCCAATATCAGAGGAATCAGATAGAATGTGTTTTTCTTCTTAAATTTAAAAAAATAATTTGAGACAATTATGCACTAATGTTTACCCAATGTTATCAGTCTCTGTCCTGAATAACTGAGTATTTACTTTTTTACTTGTTTGAGAGTAAAGTTGGTCCTAAGTAATTATCACTAAAACAAAGCAATATTTTGTTTTGTGTCTATTAACGGAGTAAGACCTTCATCCATTTCATCAAATTTTAGTTTTTTCTCTTATAAACACTTAGTTAATTATAATTGAATGCAATGTCTCAACTAAAAAAAAAAATACTGTGTTGGGGTTGGAGAGATGGCTCAGCTGTTAAGAGCATTGGCTGCTCTTGTAGAGGATGAGGGTTTGAGTCCCAGCATCCACATGGTGGATGACAATTGTCCCCAGCTCCAGAGGATTTGATGCCCTCTTCTGACTTCCTCAGGCTTTGCATGACACAGGTGAACTTATATACATTCAAGCAATATACTCATAAACATAAAATAAAAATAAGTAAAATATTAGGAAATAACATATCATGGTGTTCAGGGGACAACTTTGTGGCATCAATTCTCTCCTTACATCTTTTATGTGGATTTTTGAGGATCAAACTCGGGTTTCAAACTCAGGTTTTCAGGCCTGTGTGGCAAGAACATTTATCCTCTGAGCCATCTCACTGGCCTTAACTCACTTGTAAGAGATAGATACTAATACAGATCAATTACATCCTTCTGCAAAAGACATGGGGAAAATGTAATGTCTAGAATCCATGAATAAGACCTTATTTAGAAAAGGGGATTTTTCAGATGTAATTAAACTACAATAAAGTCATCAAAGATGATAGTAGACCTTAATCGAGTGAATGGTATCTTTGAGAGGAAAGCTGGACATACACATAGAGAAGGCCCCGTGAGCACAGATGCAGAGATCTGAATGATATCTTTTAATTTTTTAAAAAAATTTTATTACATAACCTTCAGGGACCCAAAAGCATTTTGCTATCTTAGATATACCTTTTAACAAGGTAAAATTAGCAAATGCTTATAAACATTGAGTTATAGTGTTCATGTTATATCATTTAAATACTTCTTTTAAGACATACATATTTTTAGGACTTAGTTATTGTTATTATTATTATTAAATTTTTGCTGTGAAACCCATTTCCCCCTGTACAACCATTTGGAAGATGTGCAAACACCTTTACATTTCCCAAATCTCTTACAACAATGTAGCACTCTAAAAGTTTTGAATTGTCAAATTAATCTGAATCTCACAAAGCCTACCTCAAGAATCTTTTCCAGAGAAATGGGAATAGTCTCTCTTGCATGGGTTCAAAGCATTAATTTGTGTAACTTCACTGCCTTCATTAATGACTACATTTATAACAAGAAGAAAGAGCTCAAGGTATCACTTGTTAAGGGCTGGTACTCAGTGTTTCTATGGAAACTAAGGATGCTAATCAAGATGAAGTACACATAAGGAAAACTTTCCCTTATGGGAAGCATACCTCTTAGAGCAGTCCTGGGAGCCACATGCTTTGGAGCCACTATGCATCAATGATTCCTACAGTAAAAACAGAATGCATAAATTAATATAGTGTTCAACACAAGCGTATGTGTGGTGTTCATAGCTATTATCTTCTCTTTCTGAAATTAAATTAGGAGGAAGTAAAAATTAGACATAGCTGATATGCACCAGATATCATTTCCTTCTGTGTTTTACTAGACAGGTGCTTTTTGACAAGTCAGTTCACCTCTTTTTCCATGTTAGTGAAACGGCTTTAGGAGTCTGCAACATTTTATGGTATTTGAATTCAATAAAATAGTTTTCTAAAAGAGTATATTAGAAAGGTTTTTTTTTAATTTTATGTACTATTTTTATTTTATGTGTATGCATGTATTGCCTGCGTGTAGGTAAGTACATCTGTGTCCTGCAATGCCCGCAGAGGACAGAAGAGGCTGTTGGATCCAGATTCGAATCCGGGTCTTCTGCAAGAACAACCAGTGTTCTTAACCTCTGAGCCATCTCTCCAGCCCCCATGAGTACATTAGAAAGGTTTTAAAATAATAAAGCTTGAGCAATAAACTAAACTATTTCTTATGTGGTATTCACTTATTAGATAAATGAGGGAAATAAAGCGGTAACAGAAATACTCTTCATATAAGCATGGCGTGTCTTTCCTTAACATTTCCATGTTAAGCTTTAATTGTGAAATAAGTTCTGTCTCAGATAATTCTTTTCCTGTAGAAATAAAATTTGCTTTTATTCCTCCTAAGTAAATATTAACTTGACTAAATGGAATACATATGTATATACATATGTATATATTAATTAATCTCCATGTATGAGTACACATATCCCCTAACCTAGTTCCTATAAAAAAATGTGTCACTTCTAAGTAAAATAACTGGGTTGTTTCCTAATTGAAATTTATATTCTAGATATTCTTTTCAGTATAGAGAATTCTTAGCCACTCTAAAATACCTTTAATTGTATATGTGTTAAGAGGAAAATTATCTATCCGGAGATAGTTCAGTAGAGATGATGGCAGAAATTCCAAATAAAGTCTATCCTTGTATCTGGCCTGTGCTAGAACCAGATCCACTTCTTAGAATTCTAGCCAACAATGCAATCAGACAGCATTACAGAGAAACTGAGTACAACATAGAAAGGAATACAATTATCTGTAGCCTAGTCAATCAACCGATCAACTGGCTAAATTTTAACCAGTTAGTTTACTACTCAGTTAATTGGCTCTGGAGCCTCAAGTAATAATCAAACTTTACATTGATTTGTTGTATGGGGTTCACTACAGGTCTTCAATTCCAATTTGTGTCCTTCTATAAAGCTACTCAACACAAGTGTATTCTGACTTACATTTAAACACATTAGCAATCATTGAGATGAGAATAATGCACACTATTGATTAGCTGTAAATATATCATCACTTCTTAAGTGTATGATTTGTTGTGGTAGGTTGCAAAATAACTCATTTCTACATTCAGTGTGTAACTACTTTCACTTTCATGATGACAGCATCCTCAATACTCAGAAAGCAGACCAAAGACATAGTTTTCACGTTTTTAACATGTGCAGAAGTGTTATATTTTTCCTCTCCTTTCTTATAGTTCAGAATATAGCATTCCACATATGATTATAACAAATATAACAAAATGTTACTTATGAGAGAGGAAAAAATATTATATCCGAGTTAACAATTACAAGTGCATCACCTTCTGTTTGATTTGAATCTAGTCAGTCACCAGCTGCATGTGAGTTGTCTACCAAAGTTCAGTATATATTTAAAGCTTGATTTTATCTTTCATACATTAAGGAACCTCACAAATGTTCTGTTCTATTTACAGCTTTGGAACCATTTACAACTAGGCACTACCAATCAATAACAGCAATAATATTTATAATGTCAATATTCCCCTAAACACTGGTCAAAATTCTCTGCTTTCCTTTGAAATGTTGCTAGAGTTTTGTCACATGTAAATATATACATATACATACATACACACATATATTCACTTCACAGACTCAAAATCTAAGTGGAGGTTGAATTATTTCCATCTAGTAAAGGCTAAACACTTAAAAAGTTAAAAAAATTAAAGTATACTTATATTAAAATAATTTTTCATTTCTTTGCAAGCCATGTTTTTAGGAAATTTGTTAGGAAGGTATATTGATTGAATTATTTATTAGCCATATGATCTTGAATAATTATTTAATTGCTAAAAAACCCTCATTTTACCTATGCATTAGAAATAGTAACATAATTTACACTTGAGGAAAGACTTCAGGGTTGGGAATGTAACTCAGCTTGTAGAGTGCTGGCCTAGCAATAAAGAAGATTTAGGTTCAAACCTAGAACTAAGTAAAATTGGGCATGGTGATACACATCTATAATCCTAGCACTCGGGAGGTAAAGGCAGGAGGATCAGAAGTTTAAGGCCACCCTTAGCTACATAATAAGTTTGAGGCCAGCCTGGGAAACAATGAAACCCTATTTTAAGACAAGGCAACAACAATAAAAAATTACTTCAATTCTCAGTTTGATCGTTAAGTAATACCATGCAGTTTAAGCATTCAGTCTCCATTAGTGTGTCTAGTAACTACTAGAAATTGTGGTAACATTTGCAAAAGAATTTCAGCCTTTATGGATAGAATCATGAATGTGGTAACCTTATCTCTACAATGGAAAGTATTATATAAAATATTACAAGAGTTCCTTGTTTTTTTGCAATTTCTTGTCCAGGTAACGAATACAAAATGACTTGGCTGTGAGCTGGGTGGCCTAACACATGGAAAGTAAATTTGTAAGATTAGCTAGCTGCCACTTAGCAAAGCCCAGCTGACATAATAGAGAAGGGAAGGAAGGGTAGAGAAAGGAAGTGGGCCTGGGAAGATGGCTCAGCTAATAAAGGCACTGTCTGCCATGTCTGACAACCTTTGATCCCTTGGGACCCACATGGTGGAAAGACTGACCCCACTCCCATGGGGTGTCATCGCACATGTGTACACGTGCTCTCTCACATACACCTAGGTAAATAAATAAAATTTAAAAATAAAGAAAGGAAGAAAAGGAGAGAGAATGATCTGAGATTAATCTCAAGAAGCCTGGAGTCTGTATCTTCTCATGGAATCTGTCCTATCCAATGAAGGTCTGATGCACTGTGTGCTTCTTAATTGGTGACAGTTTGGAATCATAAATAATCAATACTTGTTTCACATTAAGCCAATATGAGTCTTTCCTTTAGAGGTTTTGATAGACAACGTTGAGATTTTGTGGGATAAATTAGAGTTCTTTGCACAGAAAGCTAGTGTGTTGAGAGGGTCAGGGAAGGAGGCACAGAATGAAAAATAGAGCTGAAAACACACACCCTTACTCCTGTCCCCCCAGGAGAAAAGAGGGATAGAAATTAGGGTGCCCATGTGAAAAGAAGCCATATCTCCTGAGTTTTTAAGTCAAGAACATAAAGGTTAGGCTTTTTGTATTCTGTTCTTAGATGGATATCATTTTGCTGGCTATACAGCTTCAATAGCCCTGCTAGTTCAAGGCTTTATATGTCATGAAGAAATGGTAAAGAAAGAATGACTCTCTGAAGGTAAGATTTCTGGGAGCACAGAGTCCCAGGGTTTGTATACAAAACCACTCAGACAGGGGATGCAAAGATGGCTCAGCAGTTAAGAGCACTTGCTGTTCTTGGAGCAGATCCAGAAGGTTCAGTTGCCAGCCCACAATCACCTGTAACTCAAGTTTCAGGGGATTCAATGTCCTCTGTGGGCACTGTACACATGTGGTGCACATACATACATCTAACAATTACTATAAATAAGCCAAAAAATCCATCTGCAGAGCTAGCAGCTTATACATATGCAAGGAATTGTTCATAGATCAAATGTCCTGCATGATAAATAGTAATCACAGCCAACTATTCCTTACTACCACAGACCAATGTAGCTTTTACACTGCATTCTTGGTTTTTTTATACACGTGTGAGTGTGCATGTTGGTGTATGAGGTACACATGTGTGGGGGTACATGTGTACATGCATATGCATACATAGAGGTAAGAAGAAATATTCAAGTGTAGTTACTCAGGTGTAGTTCCTTTGGTGCTGCTTTTTTTTCCCCTGAGATAAGGACTCTCACGGACCTTGAAAAATACTAAGTAGGTAAGTCTAACTGGCCAATGAGCCCCAGGGATCCACCTCTCTCTATGGGTGCTGGGTTTACAAGCACATGCCCCCATATCCAGCTTTTATCACATGGGTTCTGGGGACTGAACAAGGATCCTTAGACTTTCCAGGCAAGCACTTTACCCACTGAGCCATCTCCCTAGTCTTGTTTGCATTTTTTAATTCAGAAGATATTTACTAATAAAAAAGTAGAACAGGATCTGACATCTTGGGATTTGCTGCCAAAATGAAACTACTAACTGCCATATGATCACACAAAATGAATAAACAAAAATCTTCAAAAAGTAGTCAGTAAAACTGTAAAAGAATATTACTTTAATAATTCTTTTACTGAAATCACAGCATCTCAGGATCATAATGTGCCTTATACTTCTGTGAGACACCTTCTTCATTCAGTCTGTGTTCCTACCACAATGTTTCTCACCGATTCCTAATGTCCACATTTTACTATGGGGGAGGATGGACCTATCTTGTCCTATTTTTCAGTTTGATGTGGTAGAAGGTAATAAAATCTGACCTAAAAGAAGTATTCCTTAAGTATGCTGGCATCAATGGCTCCCATTCACAATCTGAAATAAGGGGATATGGTTTAAGAGTGAGTTCTAGGGGGCTGGCGAGATGGCATATCAGTTAAGAGCAATGATTACTCTTTTCAGAGACTTCAGGATCAAATCCTAGCACCTACATGGTGGCTAATAACCATCTGTAACTCCAGGTCCAGGGGATCTGGTACCGTCTTCTGACCTGTGCAGGCACTGCATGCTATGGGTGCACTTACAGACATGCAGGCAATATACTCATATATATATATGTATATATATATATATGTAAAATAAAAATAATAAACTTTTTTTAAAA